GCAAAGTCTCTCTTTGCAATGCCGACTTTTTGCATTGCCGTCTCTCTGCAATTTGCATCGCCGTCTCTTTGCACTCGGCAGTGTCTATATTTGCAATGCCTCCTCTTCCTCTTCCTCTTCTCGGCACTTCCCTTTTTCGGGGGGATTTTCCGTCCCGCCAGCAAGGGGAATTTTTCTGTGTTTTCCTGCTAATTCCCCTACGAAATTCTGACCCTTTTTCGTCCGCTTTTCCCTTCGAGCTGCAACCGGTTTCCTCGGTTGCTCTTGGATTTATGGAAAAGTTTGGCAGGACGGCTTGGCAATATATTTATGGAATTTATGTGAATATATTTATGCACATTATATGCGTGTGTGTAGAAATATAATGCTATTTATACTATACAATAAATTTATTATAATGCAATATTTATAATACCTATTGATATAATGTAATATATTGAGAAATAGAATGCAATCTTTATTATATTTAGAAATATGATGCAATATGTATATAATATAATGAGAAATATGATGCAATATTTATAATGTATAATTATATAGTATAATATATTGAGAAATATAAAGCAATATTTATAATATATATTTATATATTTAGAAATATAATGCAATATTCGTAATGTATATTTATATTATATATTGAGAAATATGATGCAATATTTATAATGGATATTTATATAGTATAATATATTGAGAAATATAAAGCAATATTTATAATATATATTTATATATTTAGAAATATAATGCAATATTCGTAATGTATATTTATATTATATATTGAGAAATATGATGCAATATTTATAATGGATATTTATATAATATAGTAATATAACACATACTATATATTAGAATACAATACATTAATACAGTTAAATATGGCGGCTTTCCAACAATACAATAATAATATAATACATATTAGACTATACTGATGTATATTATAATACACAAACACACAACATGTATATATACTATATTTTCATATTGCCTTACATATCATACATATTGCAGTATATTATATAATACAGTAAGAAATTTAAATACGGCGGCTTTCCAACTTCCTATAGGCCAGCCCAGCAGTGGATGCTGGGAGTCGGTGCTCCAAACCCCCAGCTGCCAGGCCCCGTCGGCGGCGGAGGATGACCAGGCAAGAGGAAGGCTGTTCTCCTCCAGGCTCCTCTGCGGTCTGGCACCTGCCTCCAGATCCCGGGAGAGGCATATCCTCATTGAGGACTAGGAACTTGAGCGCTCGGGGGGGGGGGGGGGGGGGGGGGGGGGGGCGGGAAGGCGGCGGGTTCGAGGGGCGGGAGGGAGATCGGCGGCGAGCTGACCTCGCGATGCTGCCGAAATCCCCGCGGGGATCCAGCAGATTTCCCGGGATCCGGCACGTGCGCCGCTCCGCCCGGGATCGGGGCCCTCGGCGGAGTGGCGCCCGCGGGCCAAGCCACGCCCCCGCCCGCCACTCAACGGGCTCGTAAGAGGGTCCCTTGGGGGGGGGTCGCCCCCTTTGCCCCCACCTCCTGATCCCCCACCTCCCTCCCACGCGATGAAGGGCGCCCTCCTCTTCCTCACCCAGCGCCGCCGCAGCCCCGGGAGCGGCGGAAAGAGCCGAAGGGCGGCCGGCGCCGGAGCAGCCGAGCGAGCCGATTGGTCGGCCGAGCGGCGCCGCCCCGCCCACGCCGGTGGCCGAGAGAGCCGATTGGCCGGCCGAACGGCGCCGCCCCGCCCACGCTTTGCCGAGGGAGCTGATTGGCCGGCCGAGCAGCGCCGAAGAGCTGAGCGGCGGCGGAAAGGGCCGAAGGCCGCTTCCGGGGTCGGGGCGGGGAGTGGCGATTGGCTGCACGACCGAGGTGAGGCCAAAGTGCAAGGGTTCTTTTGTCAGGGAGCTTTACTTCCGGGATCGTTGCAGCGGTTCGGCGGACCGCTGGCGTGTTTTTCATGCGCGGTGTTTGAATTCCGGGGTACTGGGGCGATTTTGAGGCCCGGGGAGGTCGGGCTGAGGCTCGGACCGAAGGGAAACCCGCGTCTTGATCCCGTGTTCACGAGAGGCCCGCGATCCCGGGTGAGCGGGGCTCTGTCCCTGCTCGCCCAGCCCCGGGGCGATCCAGATCCCCGGCCCCAAAGTGATCCCTGGCCGCAGTGTGATCCCCAGTCCCAGTGTGATCCCAGCCCCAGTGGGATCCCAGCCCCAGTGTGATCCCAATCCCCAGTCCCAGTGGGATCCCGGTCCCCTGTCCCCGTGGGATCCCAATCCCCAGTCCCAGTGTGATCCCAGCCCCAGTGTAACCTCGATCCCCGGCCAGAGTGTGATCCCAAGCCTTAGTCTAGGTGTGATCCCCAGCCCCAGGCAGAGCCCGATCCCCTGTCCGACTGTGATGCCCAGCCCGTGGGATCCCCAGTCCCAGGCAGCTCCCGATCCCCTGTCCGACTGTGATCCCCAGCCCCAGGCAGATCCCGATCCCCCGTCCGACTGTGATCCCCAGCCCCAGGCAGATCCCGATCCCCCGTCCGACTGTGATACCCAGCCCGTGGGATCACCAGCCCCAGGCAGATCCCCATCCCCCGTCCGACTGGGATGGCCATCCCTACTGGGACCCCCAGCTGCAGCCTCAGTCTGATCCTGAGCCCCGGGGTGAGATCCCCATCCCGTGTGATCCCGAGCCCCCATTTCGTGCCTCACCCGACGTCAAACCCGACGCGGGGGCTGCCGTGTTCCTCATCCCGCCCCCTCGCAAACACTTTCGTGCTGCGCCCCTTCGCCTCCCTCTCCCAGCGGCCCGCGTTGCCACCGCGACCGGCCCGGGGGACAGAAAAAAAACGGGGATCAGTCCAGTTTAAATCGCACGGGAGATCCAACGGCGACCGGGTGGGATCTTCCAAGCAGGCGCTTTCCACGCAGGGGGGGGGGGCGGAAGGGGGAAGGCAGCGTCTGCGAGGGAGAACCGGAAGTGACGTGCGCTCGGCAGCTCTGAAGTTTCTTCTAACTCTATGGGCGAAGCGAGGCGAAAAACAGCGGCAGGCAGGAAGGAGGGGGAGGGACTTCCGGGTAGCGAAGGAAAGCCCGGATGCGGCAGGAAGCCCCGCCCACACCCGACCTGGCGAGTATCGCGCCGCTCCGAAACCCAAAACGAGGCTCATCGGGAGTTTGGGCCTGGACTCCACACCCATCTGCCCCAGCCCGGGCCCATGCTCCCCAGCAGGCACGAGAGAGGGGCTTCCCCAGCTCTGATCGGGGATCGGGAGACCCCCTTCCCTTTGGAGATCTGGGAGCTGGTGGGGGGACTCCCACACCCATCAGCCCCGTTTGGGAGGCCTCGTGGAACATGGGTGAGGTGGCCGAGGGCTGGAGGGGGGTATCGGTAGTCCCGATCTTTCCAACTTGGTGGTTGTGCCCCTGATGGGGAGGTGGCTGGGGACTCGCACACCCATCAGCGCATTGCTGAGACCTCGTGGAGGATGGGTGCGGTGGCTGAGGGCTGGAGGGGGTGTCTGTGGTCCCGATCTTCAAATCGGGGTTCATGTGTCCCTGCTGCGGAATTAGTGTGGGGCTCCCATGTGCATTAGCCTGTTTCTCTGAGCAGAGCCGGGGTCAGACTAGATGGCCCAGAAGCCCCCATCCGCCTCCCTCTGTTCCCATGTTCCTCTGAGCAGAGCTGGGGTCAGACTAGATGACCCCGAGATCCCATCTGCCTTGCTCTGCTTCTATTTCTCCTTGAGCAGAGCCGGGGTCAGACTAGATCACCCAGAGGTCCCTTCCGCCTCACTCGGTTCCCATGTTCCGCTGAGCAGAGTTGGGTTCAGACTAGATGCCCGGAGGCCCCTTCTCTCTCGCTCTCTTTCTATGTGCCTCTGAGCAGAGCCAGGGTCAGATTAGATGACCCTGAGATCCCATCTGTCAGGCTCTGCTTCTATGTTCCCCTAAGCAGAGCTGGGGTCACACTAGACGGCCCTGTGGTCTGATGCTCCTTGCTCGGTTCCCATGTTCCCCTGAGCAAAGCCGGGGTCAGGCTAGATGTCCCAGTGGCCCTTCCACCTCCCTCTGTTCCCATGTTCCCCTGAGCAGAGCCGGGGTCAGACTAGATGACCCAGAAACCCCTTCCGCCTCCCTCTGTTCCCATGTTCCCCTGAGCAGAGCCGGGGTCAGGCTAGATGACCCAGAGGCCCCTTCCACCTCATTCCGTTCCCATGTTCCCCTGAGCAGAGCCGGGGTCAGACTAGATGACCCCGAGATCCCATCTGCCTCGCTCTGCTTCTCTGTCTCCCTGAGCAGAGCCGGGGTCAGACTAGATGACCCCGAGATCCCATCTGCCTCGCTCTGCTTCTCTGTCTCCCTGAGCAGAGCCGGGGTCAGACTAGATGGCCTTGGGGGGGGGGGGCCCCTTCCCCCTCGCCCGCGTCCTCCGTTCCTCACCCCTCCCCTCCCCGAACACACTTCCACCGAGGGCTCCTGGCGTATCCACAAGCAGCTCTTTATTTCCCTTCCTCCGCCGCGCTTCCCGGAGCTTCCCGAGCCTCTTCTGGGGTCCAGGATCCCCCCTTTTCTTCTCCGGGAACGCCGACGTCTCCTTCCAAGGACCCATGTGCTCTGAACCGGGTGGCTGA